ACAGATAGAGAGACAGAGAGATAGATAGATAGATAGATAGATCGATAGATAGAGAGAGAGAGAGAGAGAGAGAGAGACAGAGAGAGACAGAGAGAGACAGAGAGAGACAGAGAGAGACAGAGAGAGACAGAGGACGGCAGAGAGAGACGGAGAGAGGCAGAGGACAGACAGACTCACATGCGAACAGACGGACATACGGAAAGGATGTCTAGATCGGAACCCAGAGTTCAGGGTTCCTAGCAGTCCACAGCTCTGTTCGAGTTTCACTTCGTGGTTGCATAGCTGGTACAATGCATAGTGTTCACATGCGACATTCCGAAGAGTTGCATGGAGAGGTTGAGGGATGCCACGATGTGTCTTTTGGGTTGTTATTGATATGGCCAGGAGCGAGACGCCGCGCAGAAGCAGCACTCCCAACTCCTGGACCGCATCACCCAGCAGCTGGCCTGCAACAACTAGCTGAATGTAGGAGCCTGAATAATTACAGTTTTGCGGGCTCCTTATCATTATAGCATACAGGAGCCCAGCCCTATTCTAGATATTGCATGAGGGTTTGGAGTTTAGGCTGTGTAAGTAAGACCTTCTGGTGCAGACCTGCAGCAGCAAGGAGCCCTGATCAACCCCGAACCATCCCCATCTTTGTGTCTCGCCCATCAGAAGAATACACCTTAAATCCTAAACCAAGTTAGGCTCACCAGTCGGGTGGATGCAGAGATCGCGGAGCGGCGCCAAACCGACGAGCGAACCGGGGGCAAGCTGGAGACCTTGCAGGAGCTTTGTTTAGAGGGCACAGGGCCTACATTAAATCTGAAGCCCGAAGCCATCCTAAAACCTCAACCCGGAACCCCTAAACCCTAAACCCTAAACCCGGAACCCTAGGTCTGAACTCCGACGCCCAAAGCAAAAGCCGGGGAGCCCTAAACTCGAAGCCTTTGCAGGAGGCCCTCGGTCGCGAGCAGCGCGCCCGTGAGGCGGCCATGAGCGAGACTTTCCATAAATTTACGCAAGCCGAGAGAGCAGCAATATCCGAGCTTCAATCATATCTTATGCATGTATATGATTGCACATGTAGTCTTTCTTCTGAGACCATGTACCACATACTGTACTCATCCCTGACTGTATAGAGAGCTTGTCGGGTTTTTTGTCGCCGCTCCGAGGAGAATGGCCGGGCGGTCGGGACTTTGGCCACGCGACTGGACGGGCAGGAAAAGGTCCCTCAGTTGAGGAAAAAGTGGGTCTCAGGGAGGGCTCAGGGTTGAGGGGTTCGCAGTCTGTATGGCCTTGAAACCTTATCGTTCTCTCAGCTTTAGCCTGAACGAAGGGTTTTGAGGCTCTATGGCCTTTGGACTTGTGGCTTTCGCAGTCGTTAACTAGCTTGGCGTGACCTGAACCTCAAAACTCCAATGCTAAGCCCCTTAAGCCCCAAACCTTACGAATCAGACCCACGAGAGAACACAAGACATGACACCACGGCAAGCAGAGATAACCTTACCCCCTTGGAGCCGACCCGAAAACTAGGAAATCTAGACCCAGCTCGGCGCCCGAACTAGTCAAACGTTCAGCACCTCCTCCGCAGCGCTGCAAAGAGGCGCTTCCAGAGCTGGACGCCGCGATCAGGGCTGAGGTTTCCAAGTTGGAAGACTCCATGGCCTCCTTCCGCCAGGAGCTTCGAGCTTAGGTACAGTTACATCCACTACTCCACACCCTAAATCCCCACACCCTAGACCCTCTAAAACCGTCTAGACAGCCTAACCCTAGGGCAACCCTGCAGGAGGAGCGATCCGCGCGGGAGGTGGCAACTGCCGACCTCTCCGGCGCGCAGGCGCGGAAGCACGAGGCAATGACGGAGGAGATCCGAAGAGAACACGCAGCCCACAAGGAGGAGAAGCTTTCGTGCTTTAGTGATGTGACTGCTAGGGGTCCGTAAGGGTTTAAGGGTTGCCATAATAGGATGAAGAAGTTTTCGTGAGACTGGAAGGTGCCCCACCAAGCGTTATCAACTTGCTGGCTTGAAGGAGATTAGTTCATTGTTCCGTCAAGTTGCACGACCTGTTCCGATACCCGAAAAAGCACTCGCAAAAAACACATAAGTAAATATATGAATATATATATATATATATTTAGAGAGAGAGAGAGAGAGAGAGAGAGAGAGAGATAGAGAGAGAGAGAGAAAGATAGCCATATGTATACTGTAATGGCGCAAACCATACTCCCTCAAGCCCTTCCACTGACCCTCACGCCGTAAGGGCTTATCCAGAGGCCCATGTAGCCGAGACCCTAATCGGCCCCAGCCCCTTAACCCCCCAACCGGAAGCCCATGCCCCAGCCCAAGTCCCAATCACCGTAAACCCTAAGTCCCGAAGCTCGCACACGTGTGAGTCGAAATCCGAAGCCCGAAGCCCAATCACACACAGGAAAGCCGGAAGTGGGCGTTGACAATGGTCGAACGCCTCTCTGAAGACCTCCGAAAAGAGAGGGAGGCTCTGTTTCCTGGCGGGATTATGCCCACAGTAATTCTGTGAATTCTGTTTTGTGGTAGGTAGCTTAGTGCGGATTACAGTTGTTTCCGATTACCTGGTACAGGAGCATAAACTGAGTATATGCGCGTGTGTGTGTATACATGCTATACATTCACTTCATTCCATTCCACTCCGTTCCGTTGAATTGCATTGCATTACATTACATTTCATTATGTTATATTACGTTACATAAATACACATACATATATTCATGTATATGTATGTATGTATATGATGAGTATATATAAGTGTATGCGTGCGTGTATGGTACACATGTATACATATGTGTGTATGCATCTGCGTGCACAGGCATATAATCTCTGTATCTATCTATCTATCTATCTATCTATCTATCTATACATACAGACAGACAGACAGACAGACAGACAGACATACATACATTATATATATATATATATATATTTATGTACAGACCCACTGATATGTACGCACATCGAGGCTTTCCACATGTTCGCGCCCGTGCTGCCCCCATTCATGTCTCTGTTTGTTCATTCTGTCCTCAATCCGAACTTGAATCCTGAACCCTAAACGGAATCCCAAGCTAGAGCCCCTGAGAGTCGAAATCTCAGGTTCGACGAGTTGAATCGGCGCTGCCAGGAGGTGTCCACGCTGAGCGCGCAGCAGATGCGCGCAGAGCTCGCCGTGGAGGTCAAGCGGCTGGAGCCTTGGATCATGCAGCTACTACTATGATACCAAGGTTTATAGGATGTAGGGTCACTGTAAGGGCAGATAAGTAAAGTCGAGGCTTGAGGGGTCTACTACAGGCTTCGAGTGACTCTAGTCTGTAGGGGGGGATCATTGTAGCTGTGTCTTTATGTTTCGACGAGCTTGGTGATTCATACTTCGTAGACGCTTGAGGTTCAGGGCAGCATTGTGGACCAGCTGGGACATTGCCGGTGCGGGAGGTTTGGGGTGGATACTGAGGGGTTTGGGGCTTCAAGGTTTGGTTTTGGACATGCAAGCTCAACCAGCTCTGCTCTTCGAGCACTGGGGCGTGGCTTTTTGAAGGCTTGGGGACTGCAGAGGTTGGAATGTGTCAGCAGGGCTCCGATACTGCTCAGACGACAACCCCTTGCGCGAGTTTTCACCTTGTCAGCCCGTCGTAACAGTTCTTGCCTAGCTTGTTGGCGTGCGAGCGTCAAAACGGAAGGTTGTTTTGGGGGCTAGGCAGCTGCATTACCTGGGTTTAGGCTTCATAGATTTGAGGGTTTATGAGGGATGTGTGCAGTGTTCACTGTTTGGCTCAGAGTTTAGGACAGGGTTTGGGGTTAGGCAGTTAGAGTCTTAAAGTTGTGTTGAGGCTCAGGTACAATCAATTGCGCGGCCGTGTGCCGAATTCCCGAGGGCCTTGCGCCCGGAGGCTCCTTCAGAACAGGGTGCCTGAGCTTAAGACCCCGGAACCTGAAAGCTCTAAATCCCTGAAACCCTGGATGCTCACAAGCTTGTGTAAACTACATCTCAAGAGCCCTAGAGAAGACACTTCAACTCAGGACCAGGCCTTGCCGGGGCTCGAGGAGAAGTTCAAGGTGGCACAGATGATTTGTAATGTCATGATCCTACCTTATTGATATCTGTAGCATATAAATATCATACATACAGCTAGGTAGTACGAAATTTACGGTTAGTGCTATGTGAAATAGAATATTCATTATACTGTATAACATATAGAAATCTCCCTCTCCCTCTCTCGCTCTTTCTTCTTGTAATCATGATAGTAGCAATAGTCATGTCAACTAGTGATAGCATGAGTAATTTTAACTGTAATTGCAACAATAATACTACCTGTAGCAAGTAAAAGCAATTCACTGAATACACATACTTGTATATAGGGGATGTTATATAGTCGAAAATGCACAAAATGAATGGCAAAAACTGGTAGTAGTAGTAGGAGTAGTAGTAGTAGTAGTAGTAGTAGTAGTGGTAGTAGTGGTAGTAGTGGTAGTAGCAGCAGCAGCAGCAGCAGCAGCAGGAGTAGTAGTAGTACTAGTAGTACTAGTAGTAGTAGTAGTACTAGTAGTAGTAGTAGTAGTAGTAGTAGTAGGAGGAGGAGGAGGAGGAAGAGGAGGAGGAGTAGTAGTAGTTGTAGTTGTAGTAGTTGTTGTTGTGGTAGTAAATACATAATACTTGTACTGATACCCGTAATCACAAAAGTCATAATAATAACTCTAATAGTCATATAAATTTATTATGATATAACATAAAATCGGGCGGGAGCCAAGATTCCTCATGAGATAGCACAACACAATAGGACACAGCGTAGTATAATACAGTACAGTGTAACATGATCTGATTTCAAACAGCATGGTGTGCTGTCTTATGTTATTGATTAGTCTTTTTTTATTATCTCGTCTTACCTTATCTTGCCTTAACGTCTTGCCATCTTACTTGTTTTGATCTGATCTTGACTTAAAGACTGTAACAGTTTTGTCAAGACAGCAAGAACAACATTAAAACTATAGAAGTAATGGTAGTGGCACTCGAGCAGAAAACATGTTTTCAGCGAGTGGTATAACTCCATTATGTTGAGATTTGGAGGATGTTGGGTTCTGCGGTTCGATGACGTTCGATCTTCGCCCTGTCTCAGCACCTTGAAGGACCTTGGGGCTTGCGGTCGTTGAGGGCTGTAGAAGGCAGACGGGCTCAGGGTTGAATTGGGGCTGTGGTTTAAGGTGAGGCTCACAGGGTTGGGCAGTTGAGCTTTTTGAAACGCCTTGATTATGACCCGAGCATAGAACTCACAACGAAGCCGGCTATTCTTCTGTTGGGGATGCCTCTCGCTTGTGGAATCGCGCTTTTGTTTTGATGGTTTTGTCATGCCCGTTTATGTCACGTGTTCTTGTCTCTTATGTTTTCCCAGCTCTTCTAGTTGAAGGGCATATTCGGCCTGTCTGTAGCCTTTCGCCTATCCGTGCCTCTCGTCTCTTACCAGAAAGAATATGCAGGATCTCTTCCTGCCAGGTTTTCCGTTTCTTGCTGCATTGTCCCTGCCACGGGGTGTCTTTTTTTGGCTCAGGTGCTCCTGGGCCAGGAACGATGCTACCACGAGCACCAAGCCCAGGCGGCTTGTGTCTGTTCGGAATTGCGGGCCTCTCTTTAGAAATCCACGTTTGCCATAATATATTTAGTTTCTGTCTCAGGGGCATGTCGAGGAAGTGCTGGAAGCTTTTTGTCTGCCAGAATTTCAGGAAGCACATCAAGCCCGAAATAAAGCCCCAACCCTAAACCACACAACCTCGCTAGTGGGCATTGGACCTCAGCCATGCGAGAGGGAAAACACCACACAACCCAAACCCGAAGCCCTGAACCTTCAACCCTATCTCTGCAGGTAGCCGCCCAGGAGGTGAAGGCCGCGCTCGAGGCGCACGGTGAGTTGGCCGAAGCGCTGGAGACTTTGCCTACGACTTGGGCCCTGGAGTTTCGGGTTCCCGGGGGGTTCTGTCATGCCACGAGTGCTGCCCCTCAGGCAGGCTTCACGATTCGAGGGCTTGAGAGAGAGAGAGAGACATGGTGTCCCAACAATGCTGGTTCAGTGCATCGGGGGAATTGTTAGAAGCCCGACACTGCAACAAAACATTTCACACCCTCTGAAAACCCCATGAAACTTGGGGGGCCAACCGGCCGGGGGGTTTGACAGACCCCTCATGCCCTGCGGAAGAAGAGAGATGGAGAAAGTGATAAGAGGGGGTTGTCATCAATGGAACATAACAAATATCATTCAAAGTATGGTGAGGTCGACAACTCACCTGGTAATTTGCGTGAAGGGTGGTATCGTATATTACGACCCGAATAACCATAGAGAGCAATGCGAGAGTTTATTAATGATCAGGAGTATGACATAGTAGTTTCTAAGGATGAGGGCTTCTTCTGGTCCTACCTGTACTTGTGTTTTTTCTTGTAGCAGCTTCACCTGCGCACTGCAGGATACCGTTTTCGGTGCGACTTGTAGTACGGCCAAGAGGATGTAGGGCCTTAGGGTCCAAACAAGTATCAAGTAGTCGTCGCCGACCCCCTCGCAGACGGGGCCAACAAATGGAAAGGTATGTCAAGCACCAGAAATCGAGAACGATTCTCAAGCCCGGCAGCACCACCGAAAAAAGCTTTCTTGTGGAAACCTTAATGGAAGAGCATAGAGCAGCCGAGGAGAGCGAGCAGCGTCTGGTGGTCCAGCGCCTCACGGAAGGCATGTGCTTGCTTGTCAGGACTTCGGGGCAGAAATCCAGGCAAACATCCAGAGGTGTTAGACGTAATGGCGAAATCCTGTTTGCAGTGTGTCAATGCGGGGAAGCTCCCATAGGAATCCTACACAAGAGGGATCATCCATAGGGTGGCATGTAATGTTGAGATGGGCACCTGTGAGGCAAACTGACCTGCCGGAAGATTCACGGGGTTGCATAGCTGACTTGTGCTTTTGCTTTTTGATAGTAGTCGCGGTGGTCGTAGTAGCGGTAGTGATCGTGGTAGTAGCAGTAGTATGAGTGGAAGCAGCAGCAGGAGGAGGAGGAGAGTAAGCAGTAGTCGTTGTCGTCGTAGTCGTGGTCGCCGCAGTAGCAGTAGCAGTTTAGTGATAGTAATAAGAGTAATAGTAACAGTAGCTGTAGTAGTAACAATAGCAATAACTGTAGAATAAGCAGTAGAACTAGAAGTGTTCGTAGCAGTCGTCTCCGCCGCAGTTGTCGTAGCCCCCCCAGCAGCAGCAGCCGCAGTGGCAGAGGTAGTGGCAGTAATCGTTGCTGTGCTAGTAGTACTTTGCAGTTGGCTCACAGCTTAGCTTGAACGGTCATCGTCATAGAGGCCCGTATAGAAGGCTTCCCAGAGTTTCTTCAAGAAGACAGGGAGTTCTGAATCCTTGCAGCACCCCCATCTCCAATACCGAAAGCTGAACCAGAGAACACAGAGAACAGATAGCTCGGCCAGTGTGCCAAGAGGCTGACTTTTGCTCCTCTGGCGGTTTGTTGGTTGCAGAGTCAGCTTCTCCTCCTGTGCGGATGCTATGGCTGTAGAAATTGTCGCGAACCACAGGGCTTTTTGCGCCTTGACTGCTCGAGGAGCAGCTGTTTGCTGGGGAGATCCTGAGTTTGGTCCTGACCAGAAGAAAGCTCAACACCAGCTTGTTGACGGCATCGTCCATATCTGTCCATCGGCAGCTGCTTTCGCTGCACTGAAGAACACGGGTTCCGTGGTGACATTTGGGCACCCCTCCTGGGGAGGAGACAGCCGGCCGGTGCGAGATCAACTGGCATGCGGTGTGGTGAAGATTGCCGCAACGGATTCAGCATTTGCTGCTGTCAAGGAAGACGGCTCTGTAGTGGTTTGGGGGAACCCGAACTGTGGAGGAGATGCGAGCTCGGTAATGCATAAGCTGTTGCGCAACGTGGATCACATCTGGGGTAACGAGCGTGCGTTTGTGGCCATCAAGAAAGATGGCTCGATTGTCACGTGGGGTGACCGAGAAGCTGGAGGCGACTCCAGCTCTGTGCAGGAGGACTTCTCAGAGATCGGCGCGGCTCGTGTTGTGAAGGTGTTTTCGAACGAATGTGCCTTTGCAGCGCTGCGAGCAGATGGCTCCGTCATTACCTGGGGCGATCCGGACGGTGGTGGGGACAGTTCGAATGTCTCCGAATTTCTGGAGGCAGGCGTCAAAGACATCTGCTCGACAGATGATGCGTTTGCGGCTCTTCGCGACAATGGCCAGGTCGTCACATGGGGAGATGATGCCTCCTGGTGGCGGAAGCAGCGCTGTTCGTCAGCAGCTCCGTAGTGGAGTAAAGCAACTGTGCAGCACGAGAGGCTCAATGGCTGCTCTCAAAGAAGACGGCACAGTGGTTTGCTGGGGGAACCCTCAATCTGGTGGAAACTCAACATCTGCGGCAGGGCTTCGCGCAGTCAAGGAGCTTTGCGCAACAAGGGCCGCGTTCGCAGCATTGAAAGAGGATGGAAGTGTGCATGCCTGGGGAGACGAAAAACATGGGGCTGATACAACAGCGACTGAAAGCATCCTCTCTTCTGGTGTTACGAAGCTGTTCGGCAATAATGTCTCTTTCGCTGCCATCAAAAGTAACGGCGGCATTGTCTCTTGGGGCGACCCTGCACGCGGTCCACCCTTGGTGCATCCCAGAGTGCCGGATGCCCAAGGAATCTACGGGACGAAGTTCGCCTTTGCCCTGTTGTGCCAAGACGGGGATGTCATCACATGGGGTGACCCATCTTGTGGCGGCGACAGTTCTGCTATTGATGCGCAGCTCAAAGAACATGCTAAAGCCGTGCAGCTACAGCCTTGAGTTCAAAGGCTGAGCACAGAAAGAGCATGGCTCAGACCATCCAGGCTCATGCCTGTCGCACCACCTGCGGCAAAGACGTACCCAGGTGTGCACGAGCCCAAGTGCGGGCTGACGACAAGGTATGGAAAGCTCAACGAGATGTGGGGGTTGTTTTAAGGCCTCGCCGTAGTGCTCCATCATGGTGAGGCACGCACACACTCTCGTTCTTGCTCTGTCTATCTCTTTCTCTTTCTCTTTCTCTCTCTCTCTCTGCACCCATAATCATCTATCTATCTGTATGCAATGTATGGATGTATGTCTGTCTGTATTGAGTGTATGTATGCAATGTAATGTAATGTAATGTAATGTAATGTATTGATGTATGTATGTATGTATGTATGTATGTATGTGTATGTATGTATGTATGTATGTACATGCGCCTCTCTCTCTCTCTCTGTCTCTCTCTCTCTCTCTCTCTCTCTCTCTCTCTCTCTGTATGCATAGGTCATGCAGCACGGGCCACAGTTTAGAACAACTCCCACATGAGGACAATCATCTGCAGCGATTGCAAGCACAGTGTTCAGAGCTTGAGGGGTGGAAACCATAGAATTCAGGTGCACCAGTCAGATGTGAACGCTCGACGTCGGGCGGAATTCCGGAAGCAAACCAGTGCAAAGGCACACTGGACAGAGAGGAAGTCAAGCAGCCAGCAAAACCTGATGCAAGATCGGTGCCAGATGTCGTGCCGGCCATGCAGACGAGAAGCACTTAAGACATTTTAAGACATGCTCCAAGAGCTGAACAACCTGCGCGTTCAACAGCAGCAGCAATAACAACAAAGACCACGACGACCTACTATACTGCTAATAATCTGCTAGTAGACCGCTATGTTTCTATACTACTTCGACGACGACGGCTATTAGTACTATTATTAGTATGAGTACTACCAAAACTACGACGACGACGACCACTACTACTACTGCT